AATTCAATCTGCTGTTCTGATACACGAGGTCAAGAAATATTAAAAAGATTATGCACACAAATACAGTGTTTGATGCAGATTGTTCTTTTCCCCACGAATGATTTACCATGGTGTCTTGTAATTTATTCATGCAAGGGAGCTGTGATGGATGATGTAAATTATTTTGGTTTTCCCTTTTGACTTAAATAATAATTGCCAGTATTTTAGAACAATATGGAAATACAGGGATAAGACATGGCAAAGTGTTGCAAAGTTACTTTTTTTTTTTAAGGCTACAGCAATTATAAACATGAGTTCATTATTCAGAAATAATGTGTTTCTTAAAAGGAGTGAAAATGCCACAGTTTAAGAATCTCACCTGAATGCTGAGATGAGATGCTGTCAGACACACAAAAAAAGAAAAGATGATCACAATACCTTTTTTTTTTTTGAGCCAGTGGTCCTTTTTTCAACTTTAACTCACTCAAATAGATACAAAATTAATAGGTTCTGAAGATGAACATACAGGTTCTGGCATATAAGTAAGCATTTTGTAAAGCTGTCTCTTATCCATCTCTCAAGGGGTGGAAGCTTAGAAATACAAATTGGAAATGGAAAATAGAATGTAAAACAGATGGAGACAACTGCGCTGGACCTTGCAGAGCTGCTTCCACCCCCAGTATAAATCGCTGCATTTTTGTGAGCCTATTCTTGTCTTCATCTTTATCTTGATTTTAAAGAATTGATTTCTATCACAGTCCTGTATTATGTGTAAACTGTCCATACAGTTTACCAGAGAGATTGCACGAGTGTCCACTCAGGCAGGAGTCTCTCATCCAGAACTTGTCGTCTAGGTCAGGGATGACCAGACTCACTGCCCACGTAAGGTGTGTCCAAGTGCCTTCACATTCAGAAGCCTCATTGCTCCTCCACCAAAGAGGCCACTCTTTGAGAGATGTAGATGGGCAGAAGGTAGCAGATGTTTCCCAGGTGTCCCATGCCTAGACTGTGTGATGACACTAGACTGAGTTCTCACAGGAGTGCCACAGGCAGTGAGGTCTCAGCAATGCCTGGTAGCCACCAGCACCCAGGGACTCTGGTCACCCAGCACAGCTCTGCTGCCAGCTATGCAACATAGCCCTGCCTGACACACGAGCCTAACTTGATCCATGGATGTGCTGTTAAATCTGAACAAATTTGAATGCTTTGACAAAAAAAAGGACAAAAGTGACTCATGTGGCCTCAGTAAAGAGCAGCCAATCTGAATCCTCATCCCCTGATGCCGTGCCCCATACTGCATGCAGAAACCACTGGTTTTCTTTCCTCATTGTACCAGAGAACTTGGGTCTTCCCAAAGCTCATCTTCCTTTTGCTGCTTTAGACCTTGTCCTCTGGTAATACATATTTATAGACTACACACCTAATTTCAAGTTTTAATTTAAATTAAATTCAAGTTTTAATTTAAATTAAACATGTGTCATGAGACATGAGTCTCTCAAGGTCATGCAGTTCTCACCCTTAATGCTCATTGGATTACATACAACAGACATGCCTCTGTGTAGGACGATGTAGTTCCTATATCATGTTCCTGCAGAATCACAAGGCCCACAGTGATAAGATGCTTTTGGTGAACGTGTTTTCCCAGAGCCCATTCCCATGTCTTCTGCTTTCTGTCTTGACTGCCAGGTACCGTGGAGAGAGGGAGGACCTTTAACAGCATCATGCTTTTGTTGGTGTGGCCTTGCGATGAAAGGGGCTGGTGCTAGGTCACTACAAGAAATAACTTTCTCTGCTGGGATATTGTGTTTGAAGCAAGGGCTATGGTCTGACCAAGAGGGTGGAATTCAAATGGCCTCCTTTTCCTGGCTGAGGCAATTCTTTGAGTACGCAAAAGGCAGCAGTGTGTCTGTATCAGAAGTAGTCGTCTTCCAGCAGTACAAAAGGTATTGTTCCCGCTGCTTCCCATGGAACAAAAGCACACATAAGGGAATCATAGGATGTGATAAAAAAAAAAAAAAAAAAGAGGGGAGATAGCTAATGGGAAGTGGCAAAAACCTTCATATATTTTCTCTTCCTGTAATATCTAAATTCATTGCCTCAGATACAGAAATTGCTCCTTCGGCCAAGCCAGGGATCATAAGATCAAATTCAAGTATGAAAAATAAAAAATCATGTGTTTGATGTCTGGTTCTTCTGTGCCATGGAAACATGGGACTTTCAAATAAAAATGCACCAAAAATAAGTGAGCTAGCAATGCATTAGAAAGTGTGAAACCACAAATTATTCTGATAAACCTGTTCTTACACTGCTTTTGCAGATAATGTGCATGTGCTTTTACAGTAATAAGCATATCCCATGGATTTCTGTATTACCTGCAAAGCACTCAGGCTGATTAGGACCAAGTTTAATTTGGTCCTAATCAGCTCCAGGCAAGTGGACCGCGAAATTAGCTTGACACATTAATTTTATGTTTTATAGTAGGTAGCCCTGCCCAATTTGCCTGACTGTGCTAGACCAATTTTACATCTCTCTATATACACATGAATAGATATATATGTGTTATATGTGTATATATATATATGTATATATATATACACATACACACACACACACATATATGTATATATATGAAGGATTTCCTTTGTCTCAAACACAGATGCCATGATGTAAGATGTCCCACTTTTTCTTTGGAGCACAAGCAATCCCTCTTGGGCCTCACATTTAAAGCATCACACTTTCTTTTAGTTCCAGTCTGCTGATGGAGCTAATGTTTAGTGACAGTTACTCAGTACTAATGATCACCTTTGGGGATTTTCAGAGTGCTTGCCTTTTGCTGGTCATTGGTGAAGTGTAATCAATAAATCTGCCAGCCAGGCTTTTCCTCCTGCTGTTCCCACTTGAATTAAATGAACATCTCAGCAACAGATTTGTGATGGAGTCCCTTTGCCATCCAGAGCCATTCTGTATGCAAGTAATGCTGGTTTAACTGATTTATGAAGTGTACCATAACATTATAAATACATGAAAGAAAACAGATGAGTAATATATTCGAATTGTTCTTGGGTATAATTCTTGACTGGAAAAAAAAGTAGAAAAGTTAAAAATTGTTTAAAGATTTGTTCTATTTTGTTCTCACTTTTTTTTTTCATTATGAACTGTTCCAATCAGCTATACTCTTTCTAACTCATTTTTATCTTGGCATGAAGGACTATTCCTTATTTTATTTCTCGTTGTTCCAAACACTTTTTTATTTCCAGTTTAAAGTGGTGTGTTACTTACTAAGTGTATTTTTCATTCAGTAACTGCCTTTAAACTTTTTTTACATTGTTGTTCACCACACAAAGATACTTGTGTTTTCTCTGGAGGAAACAGAGGATGTAATTATGTATTGTCAATTAGGGGTTAATAATATTTCATCTGAAAAATTAAATTGTTTATTTTAAACAACTGTCCTTAGTACAGTGACATTATTTTCTATTTATGATTGTAAGAGTAATTTACGTTGTACTTCCATCTAATGTAGCATTCAAATAGATGCTAAATGTTTTCCATGGAGTTGAGAGTACTGGGCCTTTGACCTTGACTATGTCTGGTAGAGAAAGATCTTACAAAGCAGGATGATGAAATTCCATGGAAGATTAAAGTTTTCTTCAAAGTTTTATTCAAGTTTAGGAGGAACTGCTTCTGGAAGACAGAGGTCTGTTCTAATGTGCTTAGAAGTAGTATAATTCCAGAGATGTTCAAAGCATTTATTTGTCTACCTTCTGCTTCTTTGCTTCACGAGTGGAAAAGCACGAAGTTTATGTCCTTCTGTAGCTCATTAAGCTTTTCTGAGGGTAGACAATTTAAAAGCTGAAATCTGTAACTAAATGGTTACAATAATTACAGTCTAAAAGTGGTCAAAAATAGCTTTACCTGAGGAAGTCATGAATTAAGAAAAAATGAGTCTGCTCCTGGCAGTCGCCCACTTATCTTGGCTGATTGCCTACCACTTTCTGCATTATATCCTGAGCAACCTAAAGGTAGTTGCTCAAGCACTTGTTCTTCCTGTCAATAACTTTTCCAATGCAAGCCCTTGGAAAGTCTTTTTCTTCGAGAGCAACAGCAGAGGAGCGTGGGAATCACCGCCCTGGCTGATCCTCACCAGCTGCCCACAAGATCTGCTCTGTGGGTCCGGCTGGGTGTGAATCTGTGGCCAGGAGACCTCGTCCTTTGCTACTCAGCAAGGGCTACCATTTATCTCCTGCTTCAGAAGCCCCCTCCCTTCCATTCCCCTGAGATTGCTATAAATATATCTGGAGTTTCACTAAGTCTCAGTTATACCATATAAATGATTCACGCTCTACTTTAGTCCTGGTAGGATGAGGGTCAACTTTTTGGCCAATTAAGAAAAGTAAATGCTGTCAGCTTGCAGATGAAATGCGATTTCCTGGAATTCATGATTTATGCTCACTAGGGAAAGGAAATTAGGTACAACATGAGGTGAAAGAGGGTGAGCTTGTGCTGTTTTGTGGTGTTCCAATCTGGCGGTACCCCAACTCATACAAAGACAAACTGAATAATCTTGAAGATTTAGTCCTATTTTGACATCATTTTCTTATAAAAGCAACTATTTTAATTCTGACAATAAGAAAGTTTTAGATCCTACGTCTTTTTGAACATCTTAATTATAAATTTAATGCATGTTTCCTAAGCCAAAGGTAACTAAATACTGAACCTAAAAATGGCGTACATGTAATGAAGCATTTCAGAAACAGAACTTGGGAATAGGCTATGAACATATGCACATATGAAATGTGCAACACCTACGTTTGTGTTCTGTATCACTCCTCATATATGAGTTCTTTCACATGCATGTGAATAAGTAGCATATGGCTTTCAAAAAATACTCCTATGAATGCTCTTAAAATATATCTCACAAGAAGTGATTCCCCTCTTCTAAGGAAAACTTCCATAGTTTTTCTCTTCAAGTGCACTGATATTTTAATAATATTTCATCAATGTGTTTATTGTCCAAACAGGTTAATGTGTGGAGACTGCTCAGTTAGACTCCAAAAACAGCTGGGAGAAAAGCCCCCATGAACCTGAGCCAGTGATGAAACTTACAGTGGGGAGGAGCTGCTGTCACCACCAAGGCAAAAGGACCCAGGGGGGATTAAAGAAAGATCAATTGGGTTACATATTCTCAGGGCCTCCTTCTTTTCCTCTGTAGGTAACAGGAGGAATTTTAGCACTCCACAAGAGTAGAGGGGAGAAGGGATGAGATTTCAAAAGCTCAATGAGATAAACATTGCTGAGGTTATTCCCGTTGCTTCACCCTGTTGTGAAGTCTTTAAGGAAACCCGGATAGCATCACTCTAGGATGATGATGCACGACCAACCTTGCCTGCTCCTCTCTGCTCCCACCACAACCTTCACCTTGGCTTGGCCGTGCCAGTTATCTGGCCGAGCAGCTTTTCTGTAATCTGAATTATTAACATGGCCTAGGTTAAAAACACACCTCCAAGAAAAGGAGAGAGGTTATATTTAGCTCAAAGATATGATTAGAATAGACCCTCTTCATGGGGACAGCACTGTGAGGTAGGCACAGTGAGCCATGCAGCAGGCAGGGGTGAGTATGAGAGAGCATCTGAGGCAAATCCTTCATCTGGGCTTATCTCTGGGACTCTCACCCTCTGAAAAGTCACTGAAAGAAACTGTAAGCAGGAAGTGATTTCTGCTTCGATACAAAAGTTCTTCTTTTTAAATATTATGATAAATTACTTGAACAGAAAGTCTTCCAACCGGACCTAAATCCTTTGAGCAACACAACACTGCTGCGTATGAGGGAAGAGCTTTAGGTGGGACAGTGCAGTGATACTTCCCCACAAGCGCCCCCCTCTGCAACAGGCACACTGACTAAGGAAACACACCAGGAATACCTCCAGGTAGATGTGGCCTTGGCATAGCTGTCAGGAAAGGAGATGCTGCTGGGCTTGAGATGTTTCTGAGCTATGAGGGATGACTGCAGGAGGCTGGGCTGCAGATGTGTGACAGGCAGGTCTGCTAAGGCTGGTCTCTTCTAGTTTGCCGTGTTTGGTTTTTTTTAAGCACAGAGTCATGTTGCCAGCACTTCCAAAGGGCATAAGGAAAGCAAACTCAGTTACTCACAGGAGTAAGCAGCATGTCCAGTAGAAAATACTGACAGAATCAGACCCAGGGACTAAAAAATTCTCATTAAAAGGTTTTCATTTTTTATCACTTCCATTCAGCCCTGTCAGCCCAGTTTGATAACTAACACCATTGACTTCAGCTGAGCAAAGATTACATGTGAATGCAGTGACTGATGGATTAGGCCGTGACATGTGAGACGCATTTTTTCTTTCCAGAGCACTTTACTCTGGTCTTTTTACAGATGACAATTATAGCATTTGTGCAAGCTGATAACACTACAGTGTTGCAAATACTAAATTAAATATTTGCTCTAGGTTTTTTTCCCATTTTCAGTAATTGCACGCATGCCAATTGATTTTGAAACCAGTCCAGCATTTTTTGCACTGTATAACTTTCAGATGCATAGCAATTATAATCCATTAAAATGAAACTATTTATGAAATGCAGATGCCAATTTATAACATAAATCAGTGCTTGTATTATATTACTGAATTTACATTTATTATGTAATTAATAATTAGAAGAGTCATTCCTTAAAGCCATCCTCCATTATATAGGGCTACATTAGGTCCCTAAGGGGTAAATGTAGGTTAAGAAAAGGCAAAGGTGTCCACCTTGGGGAACCCAGGGAGGTTGGGAATTTCAAGTGGGGTTTCCTGTATGGAAATGGCACAGGTTTTCTGCAGAAAATGAAATCTGTCCATGGACACAGGAAATGCTTGAACCAGGCTGGAGCATATTCCTGTACATCCCCAAGCGTATATAGGTGCCAACTGCTGTGGATATTTGTGTAGGGGCAGAACATAACTTGGACTACGTGATACAGAAAATATGCTTAAGAAAATAATTTTCTATGGGCTGTTGCTGTTTTAACATGACTTTGCATATTTCCATGTCAACATAAAAAATGTTTCCATATACTCTACAATTAATTCGCAGTTTTCCATCCTCAGGCCATCTGCCATGACCTTAAAGGATAGATATAGAAGCAAAGAATGATTTGTCCTGTTCTGAGAAAGTATTCTGCATGGGAGCTCACTTCATATAGACATGACTGCGTTGTTAAAAGAAAAGCAAGTTTCACTGTAATCTGACAGCCACAGAGAGAAAAACCTGTTATCTGTCCCTCCTGGGAGGGCTGATAACACCAGTCTTCATAATATCTAAAAAATTGCTGAGGGATAAGGAGAGAAATTAACACACTTAGAAAAGAAAATCATTGCAAGTTACTAACATGTAAATAAATCAGCTTTCATTAATATGAACCACATTCTACTGGGATTTAAATCTAGAACCACCTTGTTCCCATTGTCTGACCACATCTCTGTGGGCCCAAACTGACACGCAAAAGAGAAGGTGTTTAAATCCATCTTCATTTTTCTTTTATTTTCTCTTTTCCATTTTGGTATATAGTTTTTTTTATACAGAAACCCATCTCAGCCTGGAAATGAAGGCATGTAACAACTTTGTTGTGCATCAAATGAGCATGTAACTTTTTCTGTGTTGAAAAATAAAACCAAAAGGAACAAACTGCAAAAACATGCTGTTAAAGTAACAGTGTTTGGATGAAAGCAAGGAATTTCAGAGTTAAGTGCCTCCTGTCCTTTAACTCAACCCCATTGTGTCTAGAGAGATTGCATTTTGCAGCACTTCACTGTGTGATCATTTCCATCCCTGCAATCCCAAACACAATGGGGTGAATTAAGACTGGAGGGGAAGCATTAACTCCTTGTTGTTGTGGGTGCTGTCAGACTATCTGGCTCTTTGTGTAATAACTTGCTGAAAAACGAGATTCAAACTGCTAAGAAAAGTAAGGACTTGGTAGTCCTCAGGGAGTCCAGTATGCTACTTAAGACCAAAAAAATTAATATGAACAACCAACAAAATACTAGAGCATTGTCCTATTTTTACTTTTTTTTTTCCCTTGAATTGTGTCTCTCATATTGCCAACCCTCAAGCAACAGAAGTGTGAAGTGAATATTTCATACATATCCTTATACACAAAAAATTACATACATAATACATTATAGATCCTTTTACTTCCATATATAATATCCCATGTGGTGATTTCTTTTCCAGCAAAAGACTTGTGAGAAAATGGCAAGTCTATTCTGGATTGTTACTGTAGGCAACACATTACTAAACATCTTGCCATCACAAATTGAATATAAAAGAAGCTGTGCACCGGTTCAAAATAAAATTCATTGTTGGTTTTGGGGCTTTTAAACAACTCTCACGTGTAGTTTGTTATTTCTGGAGCTGTTGACAGCAGTTGCTAGAGTTGCAAAAGCCCCATGATCAATTATGGGTTGCTGATATAAGGAAAAAATTATTTTATGTGGTTCATCAGAGATCACAGTGGTCCTATTGCTCTACAAACACAGGTACTTCCAGTCTGCAATACGTGTGACAGAACATTTGCCTGATTTCTATGGGCTCCAAAGGGCTCGAATGACACTGGTGTCTCTGAAGAGCTCAGAAGAGCTTTGTTTTCCCAAATGATGAATATCATAAAATTGGACATAACGGGGTTTCACAGGGGAGGTGAAGGTGGCCATGCAAACTCCAAGATGTGGTAAGCAAATCAAGGCTACACATAGCCTGCCCTGGATAGCTGAGGAAAGACAAGAGAAGACACCCTGCAGTAGTATGTAGGGTGCTTTGCTGGAGACTTAGCACAAAACCTTCGTGTAGCTGTTCCCAAAATCCATCTCCTCAATGGGTTTTTACAATCTGAAGCAAAGGCTTGAATTTCAGTGCATACTGCTCACCCAGAGCTCCTGCCACAGTCTCAGAAAATCAGGCTGCAAGTTTGATGTCAAATTTATTTTTATTTTTAGCATGAGGCACAGTTTAACTTGAGTTCCCTCTAGCCTTGAGACTCATTTGTGTGACTTTGGATACTGAGGCATGGGGAGATTAAGTGACTTTGTCAGTGACTTTCATTACTCAGGTAGGTCTTTCATTACTTTCATTACTGTGGTAGGTCTAGGAATTAGACCTTGATGTTGAGCATTCAGAGGAGTACTTTTCTTCCCTAATAACTGAGTGGTAATACACTGCATTCTTATTTGGAAGAATCACATTTGATTTTCTGTTCTTTCATCTCCAGAGAAAGGAGTGCTCTGGAGTCTGAGCAGTCAGCCTCTGAAAGCACACAAGCCAGTATTTCTGTCAATTAATGGACGACAGAAGAACGGAAAATGTCCACTCTGACACACACATTTAAAGCAAGAGGTGAAATAGTAAGGAATATTACAAGCTAATTATTCCCATGTGAACAATTTTTCCCAATGACTTTTTCTCATGCTTCTATTATAGGTTGAATTCAACTGCTCTTTAAGCACATGTCCTATAAAAAGGGCATAATGGCTGAGTTGAGAATAAACATAAAAAATGTGAATAATTTTAAAATAAGCAGCCAGCCATCATTAATTCACTTGGTACTCATTACAGGAGTATTAATAATGACTTATGCATTAGGTATTAATATAGTCTTCAACTGAAAAATTTGGTGTGCTTCTAATTTTTTCTAATTTTATTTCAAGGAAAGTAATTGATACTTAAAACTTCACCTATCCTGACTAGTTTCTAAATCTTTTAAAATAAGGTGAACAATGAGCTTTTTAGTCTCCATTTCACACCTCAAGTGTAAACCAGGGTAAAAGTGATAAGAACAGATTTATTCAATGTGAATTCTTTGGGAAATAAACATGTTTAGTAATGAGTACCATCATCTGTAGGTTGCTGAAGTTCTTAATGGGCCTCCAATTAAGCCTAAGATTTCTGAGGATGCTTTAATTGATCTGACTTTCAGACACAATAAACTATTAAAAGCCAAAAGCAAAACCAGAATTCTGCTTCTGGACATGATGTAAGAGCAATTGAATGTTGCTTGAAAGGGAATGACCTGCCTAGTTCTCGTTCTTTTTCTAGGCTGACTAGCCCTCCAGGAAGTCTCTGTGCTTTTATAAAATAGGTTTATAT